TGATAACATAGATGTTCGTCAAATCAAGGTGAGAAAAGCCTGGCCCTCTCTTCGGCCTCCTCACCCTCCTCGGCGGCGCAACGCCCTTCACAGCAGACACAGGTTTAGGGCAGGGGATGGCAACCGACGTGGACGCCCCATCAGCAGTTCGGGAGACCCCTGCGTCCTCACCCCCAGACGATGAAGCTGACCCCTCATCCGCACGGTCCTCATCGGCCGGCTCCCGGTCCGGAACGAGCTCAGATTCTCAATCTCCTCACAGAACTCCTCGACCAGCTCATAATCAAGGGACTGGGCAGAGGGCTCGTCGTCATAAGGATAGTACTCTTCGTTGAAGTTTTTCATCTTAAACACTATCTCGGATATACTGCAGCCTACTTCAAGATCTAAGGATATTCGAGGGCCTAACACTAGATCACTAGCCTAGGAAGCAAAACATGCAAAGTACAGAGAGGATTTCGATGAACACTAACCTTGAACAACGAAGAACACAAAGAACAAGCTTGAGAGTTTATCTCTCTAGAAATCCGGGCAGCACTTCGACAAACTCAGAAAGCAAATGAGTTTTCTCGTCGGAGGGGGAGGGGTATTTATAGAACCCCCCACCCAACGGTCACTAGACGTGGCACCCTCCCAATGGCCACATCAACGGCCACCAATGAGAGGCCACCACGTCACCAACGGGCAAAGCTACACATCAAGAGCCCACCGGCAAAACAAACCCCACAACGGCCTATTTACTTGCCAAGTTCACAAGTGCCAACAACAGGGAGATGACAACGGCCAGGAACGTAGTGAATGGCCACAGGACCAAAGGAACAAAAAAAAACCCCACAGCCGTCGGCTCCTCGTAACGACCCCTGAGGATAACTCTTTACAAGCGATCTGCGCACAAGGGTTCTCCCACAGGGTTACCTTGGCCAGAAAATCGCCATAAGTGTTGGATTCAGGGGCACTACGGAGAGGCCGCTTTGGCCTGGGACTCAAGCAACTCCTTCACCCCTCACACTCTTCAGTCTGAAGCAGTGGGGGACTGGGGGACTACACCGGCCTCAACAAAACAAAAAGGACAAATGCAAACACAAATGTAACCACAAAGCATGGCCACATCGGCCAGGTACCACAAGGCATGGCCTCGTCGGCCAGAGGCACATAACGTCACCGGCAACGGCCAACTGGACACCTAAGTCAAGGACACTCATCGTCCTCCGCCAACAGTTAAACATGATGGGCTCTTTGGCCAAGAACACGAAAGCCAATCAGCGACGGCCAAAAGGAGCGCAAACACCCTCATCGGCCACCCAAAGGAAAGGACGCCATCGTCCTCAAAGCAAGGTTCAACCTCAGTGACCTCATCGGCCTAAACGTAAAACATCAACCATCGACGTCCGAGAAAGGGAAAGCATGCCTTCAACGGCCACCATTGAAGCAGGACACTTATCGTCCCCGAATGAACGCATCAAGGAAACAACGGCCTCCCCGCCCACAGTAAGGAGCAGGTAACGGCCAAGACACAGAACAAGATCACCAAGATGGAAATAGCACCAACGCCGCAACAGCAGACGGCCTGGGAATGCCCGCGACGGCCAAAAGCACTAAAGCACAGGAATCTACTCTCCTTCACTTCGTCTACGTCTCAGCTTAGAGAGTGGGGGACTCCTGATGGAGTATATGGGTCTGAGCCCCCGGACCCACATACTCGGAAGAACAGAAAGCACAAGACACAGAGTGGCGCCCTCGTCGGCCAAGACGCCCCCGTCGGCCGAAGAGGTGCCAACTCAGAATATGGTCCTGAGGCCAAGGAACCCGGGCGCCCTCGTCGGCCGTGCCCTCGTCGGCCGTGCCCTCGTCGGCCACGCCCTCGTCGGCCACGAAGACTCCACAGAACCGGATTCTACACTTACCCATTTGTACAGCCCATTAGTGGCTTTGTATTCGGCCCAGTAGCGGTCCAGTTGTAAATGGGCCTCCTAAGCCCAAGGCTTGGGAGCCCAGCCCGTATTTTCTCTATAAATACTCCCATTGGGAGTAGTTGTGGGGGTTCAGAATTCATTAATACCAAGCAAATATACTACTTCTCTCTCTAGCTCTCACTTCTCTCTAGAGATATACTCTATCACGGAGTACTAAATTTGATAAAATTTGTATTGTTCTAAATTATTCTTAATTTATCAATTTAATATCAAGCACATAAACTCATTTTTCTTAATAAGCGCATCACCCCTTTATGTTTAAATGTTAGTGAAATGAAAGTAGTAAAATTTATAGGAAAACCATCTCATATCACTATTAAATAATAAAAAAGCTATTTAGCAATGAGTATGGATGCTTCGGATCGACACTTGTGATCGAGGATTCGAGGTAGAGGTAGAGGTAGATGGCTCAATTGATGAACACGAGTTCATCCTAAATTTAAAAAATGATTATATTTTATGTAAATATATTATTTGAAACGTTTATAAAAACAGTCTTTATATATATGGGTCCACCTAACATTTGTTCATGCCTATGTTCTTGTTTGTGGTTGATGACATTCTAAATACTCCCTCCGTCCCATATTTATCTTCACAAGTACAATTAGCACACATATTAAGTTAGTTAGAAATGTATGATGGAGAGTTGTGCAGAGCAAAGAGAAATGTGTAAGAATGATGATGAACCACATTTTTTTTTGCTAAAAACGAAAAGAGGAGATAAATTCAGGACGGATCGAGAGAGTATTAGAGTTATGGTTCACATTCTCAAATCTCTAGCAGATAAATGTTACCACATCATATACACAACACGCACTTATGTATCTTGAAATATCATGTCAAATCAAGTGGACAATATAAATGGAGTTATTTGGCAACTACCCAGTATATAATACGGAGTAATACATTGAGCAGACCACATGATCTTCTAAAGCGACCATGTTATTTTATATGACGTCGTTTCTTGGTCTGCTTATATACTCTGAGATAACGTGTTATGCTTGCTCTGCTTCTCATGGGATGTTCATTTTCTTTATCTCGATTTTCTAGGATTGAAGTATCATTATGGTGATATTCACTTACGGGTGGACATAGCTCAACTTGGTAGCGAGAGAGTGTCACAAGGGTTAGATCCCGAGTTCGAATTTCGGCAACTGCAACGAGATGTTACTATGCTATAAAATGTATAGGGCCTCTGCAAGTACCGGGGACAAAGTTCCACTCTCTATCTGTCATATTGTGATTATAGTCCAATTTAGATCCTCCCAACGTACCGTCCGGTCGGTGTTGTGGGGCCCTCAGGGATGGGGCGTCCGACTAGTCCCCGCCTAGGCGCTAGGCGGTGCCCGGGCGCCCCGATTTTAGTTTAGGCGCTCCGACTAATTGATTTGGCGCCTAGGTGAATTAGTCGGCCGCGTAAGGCGCCTATTTGCCCGCCCAGAGCGATTTATCGGCTGCCTATGTGTCTAGATTCATCAAACATTTTTTAACTTTTCTTATTTTAGTATCGAAGGAGATATACACGCTTTAACTTTAATAACACATATTAAGAAAGCTACCAGTGAGTAAGTGAGTTGGTATAATATATTATTAAATGTGACAACTCTATCATTTATGTATGTTAATGTGTATACATATTTTTTACACACACAATCATATTCATGCAAAAATATTGATAAAACTACAATTTCTATGTCTCTTATTAGTCTCCTATTTATAATAAAATAGGGTTTAAGAGTTTTACACATAAGACCCTCAATATATTATTACGTACTCCCTCCGGTTCCTATTAAAGTTCTCAGTTTGATTTCACACAGATTAAGAAAATAAATTTGACTTTACTGTGGAGTGCACTGTTTGACACTGTTTGGACACTGTTTGACACTGTTTGGCATTGTTTGGACACTGTTTGGCACTGTTTTGTTTTCTACAATGGAAGTGTGAACTTAAATAAGAGACATCCCAAAAAGGAAAGTGAGAACTTTAATAGGAACCGGAGGGAGTTGTAGTACCCAACCTTCTCTGTATAGATCCAATTTTATCAGATGTCTCCGAAGAGACACTTTCCGTACACTTTTAGCTATACATAAAATTTCTACATTGTTTAGATGAATTAACGGCATATAATAATAAAGTAGGGGTCTACACAAAACAGTTATAAGATGTGTACAAACAAATTTCTCCATTATAATAGTAACTATAATTGTGTGCAAAGCTTACATCTTAATAACTTACTTGTAATTAAGGGGTATCCCAACTAGGAGTTGAATGAATTTTAAAAGATCAATGAATTTTGAAATCCGAAGGATTCTACAAGATTTGTGGTAGAATGTCTTTTATATAGAAATCCATCAAAATCCATCCAAATAAGTAGCAATAGAAATCCATGAAATGTTCGTATACACCCCTATTTTCATGGATTCCACATAAATTCAAATCGACGACACCTGAATTCTGACGGATTTCTAAACTCCATTAAAATTCTCCAGAATCCAAATCGGAGACATCCTCCTAATAATGATGTAAATCTGAATACAATTATAATCAGTAATAGTTACCAAGTACTACCTCCGTAACACAAAGATCTTCCCAATTTGACTCTTTGGGGTCAAATTTTATAAACTTTGACCATTAATTATTCAAAACTCACATTATGTTATGATTAAAAATTTATTTCATACTCCCTCCGTCTCGGTCATTTTTTCTAGTTTTGACCGGTATCGCAAATTTAGTTAGTGAGAATAAAGTGAAAATGTATGGTTGTAGTTGTATAAGAAAAATGTGAATGAATGTGAACCACATATTTTTTCCAAACGTGAAAGTTGGAAGAATTAATTGGGATGATCCAAAAAAGAAAGTTGGAAGAAATGATCGGGATGGATGGAGTACCTCATTATAAAACATGTTATTTGAATGTTAATTTATTATGAATTTTATAAGTATAGATATGTAGATATTTAGAATCAAAATTCAACTTAGAAGACCATGAAAAATCAAAACGGAAAGATATTTGTGTTAGGGAGGTAATAATATATTTGTCCATTAGTATTAGTGGAATGAACAAGTATTATCGAGTAATATTATAATCATCAATTATCAAAATATCAACACTAACAAATTCAACAGTATACTGTGCATTACGTGTTACTGGCTTACTGCTATAAAAGTGCGGATAAAAACGGATTTCCGCGGTAAAAAAAGATCCGAGCTTCGACGGAGTCTTCCGTGGACGCCTCATAACCGCTCCGTCTGGAAAGCCTCACAGATCGCGGCATTAATTTCACTTGCTTGCCACGATTCCGATCTCCGACCGGAAGAGAACCGTTTCATCCCTCCCAAGCCTGGCGCCGGTTCGTAACTTATCGGCACTTCTTCTTTCATGCTCTTCCTCGATGGCCTGTCCTGCTCCTCCACCTTCGATCGATTTTCCTTTTTCTCCGGCGTTTTCTTCCCGCGGTTGTGACCCCTACTGGACAAGAGGACGGATATGAATCGAGAGAACCTGAACCCGGATTTCCCCTTCTCTACGATGCTTCTAGATTTCTCTAGCGAATGTTCCTTCCTCGACGCCGATTCCCGGCGACCACGCATAGATCTAACCCTTCCTATGCACGAAACCTTCGGGGAAGACGGTTCGCCGACCGAAGAATCTGACCGCCTCGGCGGGAAGAGGCGGATACTCGCCGGCTTGCTACAGCTCCTCCGCATCAAGTCAACGCTCTTCTGAGCCCTGGGCAACCCGATCATCGAACCGCCCCGAAACTTCGTGAGCCTCTGCGAACTTGACCTCGAGAGTGGATTCGAGGAAATCGGGTTCGGATTGGCGCCGCCTTTGCCCGACTCCTTGCGTTCCAGAACAGCGTTGCGGTCGAACCAATCGATTCCGTCATCTTTGGAAAGCAAGAAGGATTCCGGAGGAAAATCCACGGCTGATTTCTTCTCGTCGCCGTTGACGGTGTCAAACTTTAACGATCTGTCTTCGCCGTCGGCTCTGCTGTCTGCCGAACTCTTACGCGAAAATTCCCAGTCAGATCCGCCGCCGCCGCTGACGGAGACTAGTGCTTCAAGATCAACTGGAGGCATGGTAGATTGAGGTAGAAAGATATGAAGATTTGCTTCTCAGCGGAACGGAACGTAACGGCCTTGATGGTGGGAAGGAAATATCGAGTCTTGAATATATGGATAGAATATGAGGGAGTATTAATTGGTTTAAACCGGCATGGGGTGAGGTATTGTCTCGATTTGGTTTGATATCTTATCTACAATATCAAGTTTGATTTAGGATTTATTTATCAAAATAACGTGACAAAGATACCCTATTGTTAAAAACACCCCTGTTCTTATTCAAATGATATAAACAACAGAAATTACAGAAAATCCATTTCTACCCTCTATCTTTATACTCACTCCGTCTCTTAAAAATTTGTCATCTTTCTTTTTTGGATATCTCAAAAAACTTTGTCACTTTCTCTTTTAATCATATATTTTGTGTTTTTTGTTATTTTTCTAACCTCTAATCTGCACAAACCTCAACCACAAAGTTTTTAATTTATCATTCCCCGTGTCGATCAACTTTTTCAAAGTTTTAAGGGACAGAAGAATATAACAATCGACAGAGCAATATAGCCGACTAGTGCCTAAGCTCGAATGACTTGTTCGACCAAGTTCGAAGGGTCAACTTATTTGGCCTCTTCAATCAGGTTTAACCGGATTGACCAAGTTTGACCATTATTTCTCGTCAAAGATGGTGAACTTTGATCCATTATTTTAATTAATTTATTTATGTAAAACTTAATAAATGTATACTTTCTATGATAGTATTTTTAACAATCAACGTTTTCATATCATTTTCATATTATCAATACTATCACATATAAATATATAATCAGCCAAAGTTTAACAACATTGATTTGAAAAGTCAATTTTGGCTGAAGAAAAATAGACAAAAAGGGAATATGATACTAGACCAGCTTAGAATAAATTGGATTATATTGTAGGATAACAAATCAAACCAAACTAGATTATACAAATAAAGTGTCATATAAATACGTGTACTTATAAAAAGTGATTGGTTGAGTCCTAACGACCTTGCAACCTCTTAATTCTGATTTTAGCTTACATGTCGTTACTTTTGCTTTGTATTTTAACCAATCTTAGCTAAGTATTCCACATCTGACTTATAATCTATTCTAAAAAGATAGTGAGATATACATAAGATCGGGATTAGGAGGTTGTAAATAGGTCGTAAGTAGACGTATTTATATAACACTTTATTGAGTACATGAACTTATGTGACGATTTCATGATAGTAAAGGCCTTATTTGACCCTTTTCCCAATTTAAAATATTGAAAATTAGCTTTACATATTTGTAAAATAGACTAGAACATTCAAAAAATATTGTACTAACCTTTTATGAATTAATTCCAATTTTTGTACAATGAGTTTTATGTTAATTCCACATTTTGTCTCTGATTTCACATTGTCTACTTTTGATGCATACTTAACTAATGTTTCTTGGTCATTTGTGAGCTTTTTTTCGACACTCATATGATTCCAACTATCATAAATATCGACAGAAGAACCATATAAGAGCGAAAAACTGATGTAAAAAGTGTTTTGATCATACACCGATGCAGAAACAGTGAAGTTCCAACCCAAGTTTCACTGATCTTGTAAGAGGATCAACAAAAAATCTCACGATTGGTTTGACAAGGGGCGACCGACAAGAACCTCGGTTGATTTTTATAGGGGCTAACGAGAAACCTCAATAATTATCGTTAATTTTACAAGGGGTTGATCAACCTCGATGTTGGTTTGAGAATGAACCATATGAAACCTTGCAAGCCGATTACAATTGAAATATTCCCATTCCCGAACTTGAAAGAAAATTATAGTATAATAACAGTTTGTAATGCACGTACTATTCAAGCTCAAATGAAAAATTATTCGAGTAAAACAAATCAAGAATACGACGGCCCATTTCATCTTAATGGAAAAATCTAACGGAAAAAATAAAATTTGATAAGGGTTGGAATGCTTCCTTAATTTGTGGAAGAGTTTACCGGTGGGCGTAGCTCAAATGGTAGCGAGCGAGTGCCATAAGGGTTAGGTCCCATGTTCGAATACCGATAACTGCGATGAGAGGTTACTATGCTAAAAAATGCATAGAGCCTCTGCAAATACCGGGGACAGTCTCACTCTCTGTCTGTCAGATTGAAATTATAGTCCAATTTACATCTTCTCTATCTGCAAGTACCATCCGGTCGGGGTTGGAGGCCCCTCATGTATGGGGTGTCATCTTTTTTTATTTGTGGAAGAGTTTATTTTTGAAAATATTTGTAGAAGAGTTTTGAGTAACAGTTTCGAGAGAGAATATGGAAAGTGACGTGTAAGATGACATGACTGAGAAACTGGAGGCTAGAATGAAAAGGAGGCACACTCCTATTTCGGAGAGATCTTAACTTTTGACTTTGTGTTTATGAAAAGATTTGTTTGGTTGAGTTTTATAAAGGAAAATCAGTTTTATGAGCTTGATCAATAAAGATACAATTCTCAGTCATATACTAATGTTTTAGTGCACTGTTTGTAGATTTATCTTGACCCTAATGTTTTAGTGCACTGTCATAGTATGGACATAAAAAACTACTCGTATCATATACTAATGTTTTATCTCGACCAACTATGATTGTTCCATTTTATCTTATCGGTTCATTCCACTAAGATTGTCACATACCAAATTTGGTAAAGTTTGTGTGGCTCAAACGCATTCTTACTTTATTCTTATAGTATTTGTCCTAAGTAGGACTAAAACATAATGAAAATTCAGTAATAGGACCTTAAGCTTTTTATCTCTTAAATAGGACTATATTAGTCCTATGTAGAAACATAATAAAATTTCATACCATTAATACCCTTCTTCTAATTAATCCCTAAATTCCTTACTTTTCCATCTCATTTCTCTTTCTCCTGGCAAAATCGATGATTTTCTCCCTACGTCAAAAATCAATCGTCATCCCCCTCTGCAGCTTCTCCCTGTGCATCGCAGCCATCGCTGCCACTAACTCTGCCGCCTCACGCCGCCGCCGTCACTACCAACTTCACCACGCCCCATCGCAGGTTTCATCTTCATCTTCTTCTTCTTCTTCTTCTTCTTCTTCTTCTTCTTCTTCTTCTTCCTCTTCCTCTTCCTCTTCCTCTTCCTCTTCTTCTTCTTCTTCTTCTTCTTCTTCTTCTTCTTCTTCTTCTTCTTCTTCTTCTTCTTCTTCCTCTTCCTCTTCCTCTTCCTCTTCCTCTTCCTCTTCCTCTTCATCTTCCTCTTCCTCTTCCTCTTCCTCTTCCTCTTCCTCTTCCTCTTCCTCTTCTTCTTCTTCTTCTTCTTCTTCTTCTTCTTCTTCTTCTTCTTCTTCTTCTTCTTCTTCTTCTTCTTCTTCTTCTTCTTCTTCTTCTTCTTCTTCTTCTTCCTCTTCCTCTTCCTCTTCCTCTTCCTCTTCCTCTCCCTCTTCCTCTTCCTCTTCCTCTTCGCCTTCCTCTTCGCCTTCTCCTCCTCCTCCTCCTCCTCCTCCTCCTCCTTCTTCTCCTGTTCCTCTTCTTCGTCTTCTTCTTCCCCGATCTACTTTTCCATCCTCTTCTCTTCCTCCTCCTTCTCCTATTCCTCTATTTTAATGAGATTAGACATTGATTTTTATGATCTTCCTCATATTCTCACGTTTCTCTGGAATTTGGCATTGATTTTGTCGTTTTTTGGAATTCTGTTTTGTATTTTCTAATTTTTTATTTTTGATTTCTTAGTTTTTTTTAAGTTCGGATTTTCCAAAAGTTTGGATGATGGTTTCAGATTCTGCCAAGTTTATGACAGAAATATGTGCACAGACCATCACATTATGGCAGAAACGCTTTTGTGTAAATCGATTTCTCTAAAAAATTCAATAACTTCTTATTTTTATTTTTTGATTGAGTTAAAGTGCTTATTTCATTTTTTTGAATTTTTGAATATTTAGTTATTGACTTCATTTTTTTGCCAAATTTATGACATTTTTGCGTTAAACTTCCAGCATAAATCTGCCAACTTTATGGCAGATATGAAAAACCTTGTTCTTGGCAGATTCCAAATACTCTTTAAAGTTAAACCTGCCAACCTAATGGCAGATGTATGGCATCAAAGTTGTGATGACGGGGTTGTGCTTGGAGGTGGAGCGACAGCGCACCAGAGATGGCAGAGGATGGTGATGGCGACAGGTTGCAGCTCTGGTAGGGCAACACCACCCGGCAGCGATGGATGGTGACACTGGCGAGGAGGCGGTGCGGGTGGGGTGAATAGACAGACTATTCCGGCAAGGGCGCCGCCGGTGATGGCGGCGGCAGGGGGAATGGTGAGACAGCAGCGACAGTCTTACTGCTGTTGAAATTTTTAGGGTTTCTTCAATTTCTATTTTACTTTTAAATTATAAATTAAAAAAAGTTTCATTAAGGGCATTTTTATACAAGTAGGTGATTTTAAGTCCTATGAAACATAGTTTCAAATGAAGTCCTATTTGAGCAATTATCTTCTATTTTAGTCCCATTTAGGGAATTCACTCTTATTCTTACTTTATCAATTCAATATCAACCACATAAAATATTTTTTATTAATTTGCGTGTCACTCTCTCTTGTCCCATTGTTAGCGGGACGGGGGGAGTATTTCATCTGTTCCTTTTTAATTGCAATAGTCCACTTCTCGCGTTTGGCAACGCACAAGTTTGAGCATTAATATCTTTCATTCCTTGTTATTAAAAAATTTAAAAAAAATCAGATTTTGAAAATTTAGGATGAGAATAATTTAACAATATTTTTTAAAATTTAATTTATAATACATTAATAAATAAAATATAGTCAAAGTATAATATATGAATATTGCAAAAAGTCCAATGTTGCAACAAAAAAAGAACGTTGATAATATTAGCACAAGTCCGTAACATTTTTTCTATACTTTATTCTTGTAATCAATTTAAATAATAAATTGAAAAGAGGTTGACATTATCGTAACTCTGATCGATATGAATAATATACTACACTATTATTAAAATTAAAGAAGATTTAAAAATCCAAAAAGATTTATATATACCAAATTTAACAAATTCAAATTACTCGAGAGTAATTTAGATTAAACAAAATAAAACCAGACACATATCGCTCAAAGTATCATCCAATTAACGAAAAACGATTTTCAAGTTTCACAGGAAAAGATGAAATGAGTAATGTAATA